AGTGATCTATGTACATACACGGGCAGTCCTTGCCGCATTGTTTGTGAAGGCTGGAAGTAGGCGAAATGCTGAACAGCAGGGAACTGGTTAAATACATGATAGGACATCCGTGTAATGGTAAAAAAGCATGAGAAAGCACTCTGTGTCGCGTTGCGGGACAATCTCCGAGACAGGCTGTCCAGTGAAGGGTTCGGTGTAGAAGGGCAGGGGCAGCTCCTTCCCCGCTGTGGGGCTGGTTACAGAATGGGCAAGGATGCGGCTGCTTGAAGATTCAGTCTCTGTGGAAGTAGACATGAGAAGCCAGGACAATCCAGGCAAGGAGACGCATGGAGTGAGAGGAAGGCTTCCCTGCTATGCCCTTTGGCGTCTTCATTGTGCTCCAAGTAAGCACGTTTCTATTTAAAAATAGTCCGAAACACTAATGGCTCATGGCCACCCCTTTCTTTTCCTCCTCTTCCTCCTCGTCTTCTCTGTCTCTTCCCCCTTCCATAACACCAAGTGGCAACAGTATGTAAAAGCACGGGCTGTGTGTGGCGTCAGGAGCAGGGCCTGTAAAGCCGGCCGCTCTGTGCCTGTGTGTGAAGGCTCTCAGCTCTGCACACCTGCCCAGCCTCTCACAGCAAGCAGGGATCTGAGTATCTCCCATTGGGAGCTACCGGGAGGATCAAAGCAGATAATCCCCCGCAGGAAGGCTCCCAGTGCCGTGCCCAGCACACAGCAGGAGTCTCCAAACTGGTTGCTCAAGGGCGGCCTGCTTTCAGCCTGGTCTGGCCCACAGAGTTCCTTTGATTTCAACGAGAGGGCCTCTCAAGGGAACTGCTCTGAGCTAGAGGTGCGAGGGAAGCCCTGGGAGGGTGGCTCATCCTCCTGAGAGCACCAGCAGGGCTGGCAGCTGAGCGGGCATCCTTGCTGCCTCTACCCATCGCTCTGCTCCCACGAGGAGGAGACAGGATGAGGAGGTCCCCAGGCCAGATGTCTGCAAATCAACCAACTGCCTTCGTGGCTCATTTCATTGTGTCGTGGGTGTCCTGATGCCCAAGACATCCTTGGCTGTGGCTTTGGAAACGGTGGTGATGCAGGAGAACCACTTCAAAGGATGCACTTGGACGAGAAGAAAGCACATGTGAAAGGCTTTGTTCTCCAGTCCCCTCCAAGGGAGGCGTCCCCAGAGCGCGGTGGAACACGGGAAGCAGGGAGAGTGGGAGTAGGGGGTGCAGCAGCAGAAGGCTGTGCTGCTCCTGCAGGTCTGGTCATATCTGCTCTCATTGAAGTCCACCCCTGCACCCTTCAACCCCAAGCAGACTATGGAGCTATCTGAGTTCAAATCCTGACCCTACCACTTACCGGCTGTGTGACCTCAGGCACACGCCTCCAACTCTCTGCCTGTTTTATCACCTGGAAGACGCAGATACTCACAGCACCTATGCTGTAGGGTTGGTAGGAGGATTACATGAGTTAACCCATAAAGCGCATGGAACAGTACCTGGCATGGAATGAGTGATTAAGAATGGCAGCTTCTTGCCGGGCGCGGTGGCTCAAGCCTGTAATCCCAGCACTTTGGGAGGCCGAGACGGGTGGATCACGACGAGGTCAGGAGATCGATAACAAGCATCCCCTGCTAACACGGTGAAACCCCGTCTCTACTAAAAAAAAAAAAAAAAAACAAAAACTAGCCGGGCGAGGTGGCGGCGCCATAGTCCCAGCTACTCCGGGAGCGAGGCAGGAGATGGCATGAACCCGGGAGGTGGAGCTTGCAGTGAGCTGAGATTCGGCCACTGCACTACAGCCTGGGCGACAGAAAAGAGACTCTGTCTCAAAAAAAAAAAAAAAAAAAAAAAAAAGAATGGCAGTTTCTGTCGATTGTCATGCATTGTCATCATCATCCTGGCCACAGGCGTCCATCCCTCGCCTTAGCCCTCCTCTGCCTTAGGCCCTGTCTCTGGCTACATTGCCAGTACCAAGGCACATTGAGGGTACTGCAACCCCAGCATATGTGAAACAGCCCCAGCACCCAAGCCTACTGGCCACAGAAGGCCATTCTAGAGCCACAGCATCCGCCCCAATCTGGAGTCTGCTGGACTGCACCCTGCAGGATCTCAGAGTTCCTTGGACGAGTCTGCTGGGTCTCCCCAGCCTTGCCTCACACACTTCCTGGCCCCGCTTTCCGCAAGCCCCCTCTGGCCTTGACCAACCTTTCCCCACCCAGAGCTGGCATGCAATGCAGGGTCCGCGTGGCCTCGTGCCTAGCCCCGCCTCCACGGGGTCATGCTCTACCCCTCAGCTGCCAGCCTGAACCAACGATGCAAGTGTGGCTCCAGCCCCTGTCATCCAGATCACAGTCCACACTGCAGCACCAATAACAGAAAATCCATCAGCTATCCCAGAGTCCCGAGCCAGCATCTTCTGGCCTCCAAACCCAAGTCAATTTAACATCTGACACTGTGCCCAAGAGTTGGCATCCCAGAAAGGCACTCTACTTTCGCTGCCTTTCCCGTCCGCCTTGCTGACAATTCCCACCAGCCTCACATGGCGGACAGAGGCGAAGGGCTCCTGCCGCGTCCCTCTGTGGCACCTGCGTATACTGCCTGCCCACCCCATGTCCCATCCCTCTGGCTGCCCCATCTGGGACTGG